GGGCGTCGGACTCGATGCTCTATTGAGGTCCCTTCCGACCCTAGAATCTATGAATCTATTGGATTGGACTGTAAGATGCTGTTCAGTTTTAAGAAGTTTACCATTATTGTGCAGTAGTTGTCCTTTGGATCAGGTTATCCTTCTGACTTTAAATACTGATTTGCATCATTTATTACTCTATTAGTCATTTCAAGTAGGAGAAGATATTAAAGTACAAAGCCATGTTTATACTAGTTAAGTTTAATTGGAGAGTCATTTTTTCCTCTCTCGGAAAAAAAAATATCTATATACACATGCACAAAAGCCGACATAGTGATAGCCGTTATTTTGATTTATATTTTTCCCACACATTAAATCCTTGGCATTTTGAAGCACAGTTTACAACAGTTTTTAGAAATCTTGAAAATATTTGTAGCTAAAAAAATGCTAACAATGTCAATTCAGAATTGTGTGGTGTACTGAAAAGGATTATTAAAGGTTTTATAGTTAGAGGAATCCAGGAGGCTAAAAAGATAAAAATAAATCTATGCTAATGCTTGCTAAAGAAAACACTTCCCAACATTGGTTTCACCAAACTCCTTTAGATTCTTTCAGGGTGACACCACCACCAACTTAATACCTTTCTTCCATATTAATGTTTTAATACAGGTAGTGATGACTGTTTGCTGTATAAGATTGCCATTCCTTGCCACTATGCCTTTGGCTCTCTGTACCCCAGATACATTGGATCATAATTCTCAGTTTCAAGGATTTATTTGAAAATCAGGGGCTTCTAGAATGCTCTTCTTAGGGTATTTTTATTCAGTAGTTTAGAGTTCTTAATTGAGTGAAGATGCTCACATTTATCAGTTCCATTCAGAACGCTTGACTCCCCTCCTCCCCCCTGAATTGTAGAATTAGGTAAAGACAAAAGCTGCTTTAACAAGCAGGGGTGCAATGATAAATATTTTTGGGACTGATACTGATGACTGATTATTAACAAGCCATATCAGCCAATACTGACCCAATTGCTGATGTGCAGCCTGGCAGCTTGCACTGAAACCGATTCAAAATGGCTGAAACTGATTTGAGATAAACCTGGTTGAATGTAGCATCACACTTAACTGATTAAGCTCAAACTGGCTTATGAAACTTCTGTCCCAGACCCCTTCCTGGTTTAAGTTAAACCAGAGTCCCTCAGCATCCAAGCATGCTCTGTAGCCTTAGGCTGGGCTGTCTGCTCCAGTGGAGTAGAGCTGGCCTTGCCTCTGTGCTCCCTAGCTGGGAGGGGGCGGGGGGTGGGAGCACGACCAGATGCTAGCTCCCCTAAGGTGAAGGGAGCAGGGGAGAGGTTTATTCCCACCTCTCTCCCCTGTCCCACCAGCACGGACCTGCCAGGCATTTCTCCACTCACTGCTCCAGTGGCAGGGGTGTGGCCCTGGCAGTAGCCTAAAGTGAACTGGCCAGAGAAGGAGTTTAATTCCCCACTCCCTGTCCCACAGACCCGAGCTAGGGTCCACCTAGTGCTCCCCCCTCGCAGCAGCAGGGATGGGTGCAGCCAGATGCTGGCCAGCATGGTTCCCTCAGGCAGAGGGGACAGGGAGGAAGTTTATTCCCCACTCTGCCCCCAGAGGACCGCAGCCAGTCTGCCAGTCCCGGCCGCCACTGCTGCTGTCAGTCGCTCCCTGAGCGGGGCGAACAGCAGACTAGGTCCTTTCCCTGCCCCCTCCTCCATACTCCAGATGGAGGTAAAATAACCCCCCATCCCTGCCCCTGGTTGGCCTCTGGCTGCTCCCTCGCCCCTGCCACTGGAACAGCAAGGGGGGAGTGACTGTCATGGGGGCAGCAGCCCCTCTCATGGTTTCCCAGAGTGCTAGCCTCTTCCTGGTGGTGGGGGGGGCTATGCTGTGTGTGGGAGTGGGGCAGGCAGAGCTGCCGCAGACTGCATGGGGCAAGTGGTGGTGGCTGTACAGGGAGCCTGGGGGAGGGCTATGGCCACCCTTCTGAGCCCCGGTGCCATCACTTGCCCTGCGCAGTCTGTGGCAGCTCTGACTGCCCCACCCAAAGTCCAGCCCCCTGCTGGGAAGAGGCTTGAACTCTGGAAAACCATGAAAGGGGCTGCTGCCCCTGTCACAGTTGCTTCCCACACACTGCTCCAGTGGCAGGGGTGGGGAGACAGCCAGAGGCCAGCTGGCAAGGGGTGAGGGAGAAGGGTTATTTCCCCCCTCCCTCTGGCATCTAGCAGAGGAGGCAGGGAGACGGCTTATTCTGCTGCTTGCCCCGCACAGGCAGCAATTGGTGGCAGCAGCCAGGGCTGGCATACCTCGACTGCGGTCCCCTGGGAGTGGAGGGGGTAACAAACCCCTTCCCTGCCCCCTCTGCCTTAGGGGGCCTGCTGGCCTGCATCCAACCACACCCCTGCCACTGCAGCAGCAAGGGGAGAGCGCCAGGTGGACCCTGGCTCGGGTTTGTGGGAAGGGTGGGATGGAGAATTAAACCCCCTCCCTGGCCAGTTCACTTCAAACTACTGCTGGGGCTGGCCACGCTTCCCCAGCACAGCTTCCCTGCAGCCAAGAGTATGCTCTAGCACCTCCCCCCCCCCACCCCCACAAAGGTTCTGGCTTGAGAGACTGTAGGCATGTGCCTGCATTTCCTCAGTCCAGAGGAAATGTCTGTTCACTTGCAGATTGGTTCAATCTAGGCAGGTTAGACTAGCCTGCAAAGATTAAATCAATTCGGGCTTGGACTTTAATGTCTGTCCCTAGCCTAGATCTACAGACTTTCAGTGCTGCCAGAACTGCTCTTCTGCCCAACTTACTGTAAAAGGATAAAACTCTGCCCATGCACACAAATGTTTGTACGAATATGGGATTGCTTTTGGTCAAGGGGAGAGAGATTGATAGCATTATTCAAATGCTATTTAGATCTGAAACTCTTATCATCCCATGAATACTTACATACTTATTTTAATCATATCCCTGTTTCTTTTTTCTATTTGTGGATGAATTCGTTCCTATGGGCCTTTCAATGCTACGTTAGTAAAGGAAAAAAAGATTCCGGTTTAAGCCACTGAAATTATTAGAAGCAGGATCGATATTACCATAATGCTTCAAGTAGTGCAGAATTATCAGCTAACTGTTAAAGTAATTTTGGAAAGAAAACTGTCTTTATAATTATGTTGTATTTTTAATTTCAGTAGCGTATTTGAAATGAAATAGTATTTAAGAACACTTTCTTACTCAGCATACCCACTTCATCAAATCTGTGTTTGCTTAGTTAAATACTACTACTAATAATAAAAAAATCTGTTACTGAGTAATTTATATATTTCCATCTCAAAAAAGGTCAGTTTGTATGATGAGGTTCTAATTTTGTAACTACCCATATGTTATCAAGGATATGAATGGTCCCATTGTTATCTCAAATGGGGTTGTTTCTTTGGAGCTTTAGCTATATATTCTAGCTGTCTCTTCCTGGAGCACAGGTGCGGGGGGGGCATGGGTCCCTGGGGCCTCCGCCGGACTGCATCCAGCAGTGGGAGACCTTCCCACACACCCCTAAACTGCAGAGACTTCCAGACCCAGCTGGGCTGGGGCCTGACACCATGTTTGTCTGGCTCCTGGGGGGGCACGGCTCAGTGCAGCTGCGGCACAGAGCCCCCGCCTGGTCTGGGCACGTCTGGGACTGTCCCTGGTCCGCTAGGCACAACCCAACGGAGGCCTCAGGGGCCTGTGTCCCCCCCCCCCCCCCATGCTCCTCAGGGGCAGGGCAGGCGGGGCGAGGTAGATCCTGGGGTGCCCTTTACTTCCAAAAAGTGATCTTCACTATAAAAAATGTTGGAGACCACTGTTATAGGAGATGTTTGATTTTTTTAGTATATTTCGGTTTTTCCCCCCAGTTCCAAGATGGCAACCCCCCTCCTCCCAAAAGGAGTAATTTTGCGACAAGAGGAGGGACTTCAAGTAGCAAAGTTCAGGGGTTAGGGGCAGGACTTCTGGTCCCAAGTTGGCGACCAGGGGCAGGGCACTTGTCAAAGGGTGGGACTACCCTTGCGGCCCTCAACTGCTCACCAAAACTCATTAAGCAGCCCTCCAGCCTCATTAGTTGTCCATTCCTGGAACGGGGTCTATGCTGTGCATAGTTAGCTTTCCCCTCCCTCGTGCTGTGTTCCAGCCCAGCTGCAGTGGGGCAGGGAGTATGCTTGTATGCTTCCTGGCACCCAAGTGCTGCTTTGTGATTCACGCAGGAAACAAACCAAGAGCAGCCCAAAGAAATCAGGGGTGTGTTTTGCTCCCTGCTTGGCTGGGACTGGTGCATGATTTCCCTCCCCTTGGCGGAGGGAGAGGGAGAAGCAGCAAAGCACACTGGATGCCTGTATAGAACTTCTGTCTCCAGAGAGCCACTTCACTTAGTTTCTGAGCTAGTTTTTTCCCCCCAGAGTGGCCACTTTTACTCTGGGAGAAAATACACTTGTGGTTTCTCTTGAGAGATCAGGGACTCTCCCTGGAGAAACTGAACATCTGCCCAAAGCCAATGACTCCTATTGAAGTCAAGGTTACAGGGTAAACTGATTAAAAATCTTTGGAATAAGTCTTATCTTTAAAAAATATTTCCTATACTGATGTTTTAATGCAGAACATTTTGAAAGAAGTTTATTTTACTTATAAACATTTATATTTTTACTTGCTCTCTTGCATATTATTCAGGTTGGCTTTCACTGACACCAAAGCAATCTATGCCATTTCAATTTAGTAGGGTTGGTACGACCACCGCCTTCTACCTTTCCCCCAAGGTTATTTATTTTTAAATACAGAATTTTACATTTTGGTCCAAACTGCTTGACTGCCCACTTTCATACCACATCTAGTAATGGCACATAATACTTTCATAGATTCATAGATGTTAGGGTCGGAAGGGACCTCAATAGATCATCAAGTCCGACCCCCTGCATAGGCAGGAAAGATAAAAGATACTTCAAAGTTTCAAAAGAAGATTAGAAGTTTTTTGAGACTAAAAGATTAAAAGTTGATGTTCACAAATAAAACTGACTTACCTGATTTTAGAACATTCAAATTAAAATCCGCATCACTGTGTTCCTTTTCCAGAGTATTGGTGGAGAGGCCATGAATGAGAATAAATTTCTGAGCACAGATCCTGGTACAGGGCCAATGGAAGCAGCTAAACCATTGCCATTCAAGGATCCAAACTTTATGGTAAGTATTTGATTTTAGCAACTGGAAATTCTTTTAGTCGCTGGTACTCAACCTTTTCACCCTGGGGAGGTGGAGCACCCTAATCTAGATTTATGAAGGGGGGAGCGCAGGGAAAACAGCCCAGTCCTGGTCTGGACATTCAGGGGACGGGATGGCAGAGCAACCCCATTCCAGATGTATGGAGGGGATTGGGGTGGAACAGCCCTGGTCCAGATGTGTGTGGAGGGTGGGGGATGCAGCATCCCTGATCCAGATGCATGTGGGGGTGGGGGATGGGGCAGGCCAGCCCCAGTCTAGACACATGGGGGGAGCGAAGCAGCCGTAGTCCCAACATGTAGGTGGGGGTAACAACCCAGCCCAATCTGGATGTGTGGCAGTGCGGCCTAGCCCTGGTCCTCGTTTGCTCCAATGGCCTGGGTGAAGCTGGATCCAGCTGCATGGAAATTCCACTGCACCCTGCTGTCATATTTTCCAACCCATGGTGGAACCTTGCAGGTCAGGTTTCTTGGTTCCACAGGCGGGAGTTGTGCACCCCTGCTTTGAGCCTTAAAATGAAATAGGTGCTAATATACTCTACTATTACTGCATTTCTATTGTTATTATTGTGAAAGTAATTTTAGGAGCCAAATTCAGATGTATCTTTTATCATCAGTTTTAAATAAATTATTTCCTCAAAAGCTCATGTTATAATATGACCCAAAGTGTGCATTAAATTACAAAGCATGAAAATGACACTGGTCCAAGGGCAGGACATGTTATATGCAGTCCTGGAACACGGCCAAAATAGCACTGCTGGATCAAGGCACCTGTAACAGTTTTATGGTATGGTATCAAGGCTAGAAATGAACAATTTATACCACTGTAAATCTAAGAGTCACATCCTTTCAATTATATGGAGCACTTGTTTGTAGCTAAGGTAGGTTGCAAAATAATGAAACTAAAACCAAATCATTAATGTTTGTCTTTTTACACCCTCTCACCAGTTACAACACCAGCACAACTAGGCCATTCTTTCTGCTAGAACTAAAAACAAATACTTTGTATTCTGTCAAAGCTAGGCATTTCAGATTTCAGGTGAGAAGCAAAACTTAAGCAGTTCATGAATTTGGTAATACAGAATTACATTGGAGATGGAGGCAAAGCAGGATGATAGCAAATGATGCAACTTTTTTTCATTCTTGCCTTTCTTTTACAAATGCATCACCTTACTGTTTGGCAGAGCTAGAAACCCTTTGGCATACTATACAAACAGTCTTTGAACCAGTTGGCTTTTCATAGTGCTGTCTTAAAATGGTGCTTAGAAAGAGATTTTAATTTTAATTAAATCTCAGATTTAATTCACAATGGGTACATGTAACAGGTCGCCCTCCCCAGCACCATCTTCCCTGTTATCCGTGCCCTACGTGGGGCGCCCTTGGAGTCCCCTTTAAGGTTTCTTGTGTCCCGCTCTCTACCCGCCTGCCATGTCTTGATGGAAATTTTATACCGATGTTTTTGTAAGCGGGAAACTGCCTATTGTTTTTGTATGTTGGGGTCCTCCACCACCACTGGCCTTAACCCCTGTCTTTCTCTAGCTAGGCCTCCCTATCTAAACCCACCAGATAGGGTTTGACTCTGAGGCTCTAGCTCTTTAGTCTTGGGACTCATGGTCCTCCTTTTTGCTCCAATCTGGAACACAGCTGCCCTGGCCCAGAGGCCCCCCCACCGGCCCCACAGCCAGGAGGTCGCAAGTTTGAAGCTGGGCAACAGCCCCAGACCTCCACCATCCCAGTCCAAAAAAACCCAAAAAAACAAAAAAAAACCCCACACAGGTGCACCTGGCCACCCTGGCCTTTTTGGTTTGTGCTCTCTGGTGCCAGGTCTGTACCCCCAAATACTGTGCCTACACAGGCATTGGAGTTCCCATGCTATAGTGGGGCTCCAGTGAGGTCTCCCCCTTCCCCAGTAGCCTCACCCAAACCACTGGTGTTATTCAATAACAAAAAAAAATATGAACAGTCCTGTCCATGGGCAATAACTGCCATCATGAGAAATGTGATTAAAGAAGGCAGCACGCCAACTTACATTTACGCAGGGGCTTGTGCTTCTGCTCTCCCCTGTCGGCTACAGTCCTTCTTCGGGGGTTGCTGCCACTTCTCCAGGGTCCTCCATAGTTCCCCTCCTCCAGCCTTTGGACCAAGCACCAAGCCTCTCCATGGAGCTCTGGGACATACTCCTTCCCCTTTGGTTGCTGGCCCCTACTGCCCCCCAGCCCAGCGTTTTTATAGTCCTGTCCTGCCCCCTTCTGGTCACCTGACTAGCTGGCCAGGCTCAGCTTTTAACCCCCATCTTACCAGCATGCTGTGCCCAGAAAGTTCTTGTCTTAAAGGGGATGACATGTCTTCTGGTAACAGCGCTAGGGTTCCCTGTTACAGTACATCTACACATGCTATTAATGCAACACAATAAACTCCATTGTAGTTCATGCCGGAGTTTATCACTCCCAGGCACAGCATTTACACGTGTACCCAGGACCACAGCATGTTGAGTCAGGGTGGTGCAGCCCTAGCTGGCAGGGGGTTCTGGTAGTCAGCTTGGCAATCTGGAGCTGTTCCACTCTAGCTCATTGTGCTGTGTAGGGGCTGGCTGGGGCACGAGAGTGCTACAGTATGGGGCTAGCCAGCATGCAGTCCCTGCACTATATTCCCTTGTGTGCCAGCTAATCCCAGTCACTGTCTACAGGTGTTACAGCAGAGTAAATAACTCTGCCATAGGATAATACTTTTCAGGCAGTACTATCCTACTGTGGAGTTAAATAATTTACTCTGGCCTAATAGTGCTGTACATGTAGACAGTGACACTTTACTGCGGAGCTAATTGGTCAACTCCGCAGTAAAGCGCATGTGTAGCTGTTCCCAGTGAGTAAGATATAGCCACCCCGTAGCCTAACACCTGACCCATGAGGCCTCTGTTCATAAAAAAAGGGTACCAAATTGGCCCCTCACTCACAGGTTGCTCTGCTTTTGGCTCCAATTCTCACTGCAGTGTGAAGGGTGTTCAAACCACTGTTTCCTTTGCTGCTTCTTAAATTCTCCCTAAAGCAGCCTCTGGGATGCACAAAGCCTATCACATACCCAGCGTCTTTCCACATAGCTTGTCTGCAGAAATGAACTGATCCAGGTGCCCCTGCTGGCTTCCATGCCCCTGGGGAACATCACTGCCTCTACTCTGAAAATGCTGATATCTGCATAAATCAGATGTGCATATGCGACTTATTAATACTGTTTCTGACATACAATGAAGCTGGACTGAATTTGCCCTAGAATTGTCTTGGTCACTGCACAAACGTTAACTGAGAAAGAACCTGTAGAAGTTTATTCTAGATCAGTGGTGCCCAGCCTTTTTCCCCAGTGGGCCAGATAGGTAGTGCCCAGTCCATCCACAAAGTGGATTCGGCCGGTAGGCCTGATGCAGCACATGGGATTGGCATGATGGGACCTGACCAAGCTGAGGAAGCAGGGGGAAGGGGGCATGGCCCAGCCCCAAACCAGCTACACCGCACTTAGGAATTTGGCAGAAGGAGAGGACTGGCTGTACCAGTTGCCATTGCACCCACACCACCAAATTTCCCAACCCATGTGGAGCCTCGCAACCTGGATGCCATGGCTCTGTGGGCCGAATCTGGACCAGGAGCCAAGGGCTGAGCACCTTTGTTGTAGACCCTTATCTCCAGGACCTGCCATTAACAACTCTGCTGACAACCTAAATCATTTTCATTTGAATTTAATATCATTGGGCAAAACATAATATCAGGTAATTCAAAGATTTAAAACTATGCCAGAAGCTAAGAACAGGTAGCTCCCAGAGGGAATTTCTGGTTGCAGATTTAACAATGAAAATGACTGAAGGAGGAAATTGCCCTTTTAAAAACATGGTTATCAAAATACTTGGATTTAAGACATGATACTGCAAGTCACCGTCAGCCTGCTGGTCACCAAATGTTCAAGGAATTAATAGTGGGATAGAGGGCCGTTCTCCAGCAGGTCACCAGTACCAGCACAGCTTGATGCATGCGCACTTGACAGTTGTTGCCATTTTATTGCTTTCATGTGAGGTGAGACTGGTCTCTTTCTTAGCGGACATAAGCTTGTGTAAGTTCAGTTGTAGGCAGCCTGAACAGAGAGGTCCAGTACTGAAAGAGAAGTACTGTCCTGTATACCTAAAGGAGATCACTGCCAATCAGGTTCATGAACAAATATAGTGAATCATGAACTGCCAGGGCCTCTGATATGCCTTTCCTGCCAACAAACGGTGCAGACAAATGTAATTTATGAAACAGTTCAAAGCATAATGGGTTTGGAACATTTAAAAAGTGGGAAGTTTCCGCTGCTGACAGACATACAGCCTCCATTATATTTGGCTGGAGTACTTAAAAAAAAACAGCGTAGCAGCATGCTTTTCAGCAAGGGTGCTTGACAGGGGCTGCAGTGAACTGCAGCTCCCCTCTGCCTACAGCACTGTTGTTGCTCTGCAGCCTCCCTCTCCTGGGAGCTGTGGCTATACTGTTCCCTCCCACTCCCTTATCAATGATCGCTCTCCTGTGCCCTCTGCCTCTGCTCTCCCCAAGCTGCAACTCAGAGACCAGAGGCTCTCCTGTCCCCTACCTGCAGGATTGGGGCTAGAGAACAGGAATCCTGTTTCTGGAAGTGGGAGTATAGAGCTTTCTAGCTCCAGGGGCAGCAGCAGAGGGAGTGAGGGAGCAGCAGCAGAGGCCAGGGTGCAGGGGGACTAGGGGGAGGAAGGGATAAGAGTGCTGCATTGTGGAGTTCCAGGTAATCCAACCTACCATACCAGTATAAGGTAGAACAAAGTGGTACAAAATAGTACCTGCTCCCTTCAGATACATTATTGTCACTCTTTGTAGCATTTTATCTTACCTGTATATATGTATGCTGGCTTTTTTTAAAGTTTCAAAAGTGTTTAATTGTTATGTCTGTCTACAGCCAAAGCCAATAGTTTGGTGGCACCCTTACAAGAAATAGTTAAGTGCTTTAGGCCCTGGGTTGGGTTGTGCAGCTCAGAAGAACTCATCAGCTTTTGAGGGACCTCATACAGGTATAGGCATCCAAAGCCAAAACTGAAGTTATACAGCTTTGTACTTTAAACAGATAAAGCCTATGATCTTAGGGCATGTCTACAATGCATAATGTAGTGCCACATGGAGATATGTGCTCCTGCCTGTGTAACACACCCCGCTTCTTATCAAGACCAATGAGCACTCTACTACTATGGCTATGCTGATTCCTGTTTGCTTCCTGTATTCAAGCTAGCTCAGGCCCTGTCTACAGAGCACTGTACTGGTGTCATGTACACACATCCTTAATTTATTTCACTACTTTAAAGCTCTTTTTGTACAGCAGTTTTTAGCTGAATTGTCAGCAAATATTCATGGTGCCTCTTACATGACATTCCCTAGGTGCTTCTTGCAGATATTTTTAAATTTTTTGAACAGCCAAATATTCAAATCTAGTACAGCATGTTTTTGTTGTTCCTTTTAATTAGAAACCATAATTCTTCAGAGTAATATGTCATTTCTAATTTTGCTATAGGTAAGCAAATTAACAATTTGATCAGAGAACTCTGTGAAATCCTGAAAATGGGTATAAACCATATTTAATTTGGTGGAGTTTTTATTTCATACATTGTTTATTTCTACCTCTCCCACCACGCAGAAAAAAAGACAACTGAATTATCAGATACAGCCTACCACATGGTTGAAAGGGGAGAGGGAGGGTGGAAATCACATTTGGATTATGGGAGTAAGGTTTTTCTTTGAAGCTCTGTATGTTGTTTTAATGAAAACTGCATAAACTGGTATTCATTGTGACAGGGGGGGGGGGGGGGGGGTGTCGTCTTGCATGTGTGCCATGAAATTTACTAAAACTGACCATTCCAAAAATTGTTGGACGGAGAAAACAGGATTCAAAATAGCAACAAAATTTGGGGTGTGCTTCATAGCCTAGTGAAGTTATCCAGGTCTTCTCGTTGGTCCTAAGTGACAGCAATCATAAAAATACATGCCTTAAGTTTGCAGCAGGGAGAGGGAAATACATATTGTGATTCTGAAACATGATAACACATCTATTTCCATCCTTTAAATCAACAGTATCTTTCTGACAATGTTATCTCTGTTACAGAGGTGTTAGTTTTATAGTAAAATGCTCCATGTATTTTTCCTACTGGATATTCATTGTGAAAAAAGTTGCTATATCTCACTGGCTCACAAGTATCCTCCGAGAGTGCAGAGTTAACTCCGTAGAAAATCTTTTCATGACAAATCTCATTCCTTTATCATTTCCAACTCCTCTGGTTCTCATACACTTTACACACTAATTTATAAAATAAATCGCAGCAAAAATACATTTGCAGAACTTTGTGAGAATTTTGATAAGGCTCATGTGGCAGGTAGCAATTATTAAGCAAGATAACACCACCTCTCCAGTTGTAAAAACATTTTCTTTTCAGAGGTAAAACTGAGAAGCTGTGTCCTTTGATCATTAGAAATAGTACAGTATGTTGTGGATCCTCTGCTTCTGGATGGACATAAATAAATTACTTCATAGCAGTCACATTTGATAACTGAAATTACCATTATAATAAGTGTAGCAAGCCTTTCTTTAGTACAGCTTTCAAAATGCAAACTAGCCTTGCTAGCACAACATTCTATTACTCTTTTTCTATTCTTCTGTCTCTTTCCATCTGAAAGAAAAATAAGATTTCCAGAAAGCTTCTCATAGCATTGATTACATTTTGTAAGGTCAGTTTTGTTTTCACAGTCACTTAAAACTTACAAGAGACACAGCTTCACCTGTAATTTTGTACATGCAATCTAAAGGACAGAGAATTTAGACAAGCAATCACAATTTTAGATACATCCCCACACTAATAAGTTTTAATATAATGGAAGGTGCATGAGTACTGAATCTGGTCATCTCAGACTCATGCTAACCATATTGATTTTTCTATTTCCAAGTAAAAAGCAGATTTTCATTTCCTTCAGCTAATCCCAAACATAGTAGTTTTGACACAGTCCAAAAAAAGCTTTATTTTCCCTGCAACCAAGAGTAAAGTGTACAGTGTAGTAGCTTACTGATTAAGTGAGGAGAACAAATAGTTCATGACAAGATGAAGCATGTCTCATATTTTTCTGAAATAAAAATGTCATATTTTGAAATAATATGTATTTTTTCTCTAAACACCACATTTTAATTCTAGCACTCTGGCATTGGTGGAGCAGCAGCTGGCAAGAAGAACAGAACTTGGAAGAACCTAAAACAAATTCTTGCTTCTGAAAGGGCATTACCATGGCAACTAAATGATCCTAGCTGTAAGCTGCTTAGATGTTTTGCATGTATTTATAAACAATAACATCCACACAAATAACTTTCTTTAAAATGAACGTAAAATTGTTGCATCTATGCATGCAATAACCCAGTTGAACAGATTCCAGTGATTCATTCAGAATAGCTTGGCCCCACTATCACCACCAAATGGAGTTACTTGAAAAAGTGTTGGAAAGTTTGTCTGAGAGAGATGAGAAGGATGCAAGGATATTAAAATGTAGTCCTAAATGGCTTATTCAGGTCAAGATTTTGTCACTTTTGCTTAGGCTGAGTAACAACCTACTTTACAGATAGCCCCTACTGGTATGTATAAACGTACCTGTCACTTTAGTGACTTCAGCTTGTATAGATATACGCCAGCTACCTTTAAACTTTCTAGCCCAAGTTTGCTAGCTGTGCAAGTGCTGCAGCATGAAGTTCTGTACAGGCTAATTGTGTGAGTATATATACCCAGATTCTCAGGTGGGTTTTGTCTCTCAGGCTGAGCTCTATGCTGCTGTGGCAAACCCAGATCTGTTACTTTCAAACCAGCATAGGTAGTGTCTGTGCCATGCTAGGAAGCCCCATCCTGGAAACATCCCCTGCTTGTGCATGCGGAATGCTGAAAATACGTAATACAGTTGCTATTGAAGCAGTGTTGGATGTGCCTGGGGCAGCTCTAAAAAGCACATTGTAGTATTTGGAACCTCAGAATGGCCTCTGTGTGGGGCACCAAAAAAGCCATACAATATTTCCTTGTAAATAAAATGGAAGGGTGGGTGTATTTTCATGTTAATGATCACTAGCACTGTTTGGCATGATGTACACATTCCGGTAGTCTACTCAGTAAGTGACTTTACTCAGCATAAGCAAGAGTCAGAATCAGAGAACTGGGCCCTTGGTTTTTACTCCGGTAGTCTATAAGAACTGAGTAAGCACACTGGAGTGCGCACCCATGTATACGTCAGACCCCGTGCTTCATATAAATATAACTTGTCATTTTAAAAATTATTTTAGATGTGACTGTTTGGAATAAAATGTAGACAACTCTTTTCCTGGCTGTTATAACTGACAATCCTTGTATAGTGTCATTTCCACTCCATTCTATTTGCAGTAGTAAATTTTCATTAAAAAAAAAAAAAAGCAAATGTAGAAACAAATGTAATTGCATGTCTAAAAAAACAGCTGCCTGAAGCATTAATACCTTTTGAATTATAGTCTTAAAATGCACACCATGATTAAAAGATCTGATCTCCTAAATTGGAATGCTTCAGCCATAAATTCTCATTGTGGGGAGGAAATCTCGTGCATGTTGTTGGGGGGAGGAAACTTACTATATGAAAGATATTTTATAGATACCAATACGTTACAGAATTGGGAATTTAACTACTGATGCAAACAAGGATATGTCTGAAAGGCTGTTTGCATATAAAAGCAGTTACTATTTATGTCTAAGGGAAGCCAAAGAATAGCAATTTCCAGAATTAAATTTAAATGTTGAGAATTTTCTAGGTCATTGACCAGGCTTAAAATGGTACATGCTTAAAGATTTATCTGATTTAAAAGATTACTTTGCTTTTCTGGATTATGCTATTTCAGAGTGTCAGTCTTGAGCAACATTTGTTGGTTTTAACCTATGGCAGGCATAACAAATGGCTATTTTTGCGAATATCTTTAACCTCAAGGGAAGCTGTCATTAAGACTCGCTTGTAAGTAATATGTTTGCTATGTAATAGAAATAGCCTTCTAGCATTTTTCTTTATTTAGGGGCCAGTTCTGTACTTGCTGGTTAGGTGAATGGGATCAGGGCCTTAGCGTAGTATAACAGGTTAAAAGCTTTTCAGGGATAAATTCTGCTTAATGCATCTTTGTCCTGGTACTTTTAGTTTAACACATTTAAAGTCAATGTTTTATATCTATGTCTGTTATCTCCTCAAGTGTGTTTTTAACAAGTTTAGCTTACTGGAATCACACTGGCAAGCAAGGAGGTAACCTTTTCTTCCCTTCTCTTTTTGGCATATCTCTAGATTTTAATATTGATGCTCCTCCTTCCTTTAAACCAGCCAAGAAATACTCTGACATTTCAGGACTTCCTGTAAGTATTTTTTTGTTGTCTACAATTGCCATCTCATTTCTCACAACACAAAGCAAAGACTGTTAACAGCGTTACTCAGTTTAGTCAGGCCCCATTAGAATATGCCTAAACAGATTAAGGGCAAAATCTAGATTGGTCCCATAGGTGCCTAGATGGGATATAAGTAGAAGACAGACATCTGTTTTTAGAAAAATGGTCCAGACAGGACCTGTTCCTGAGCCTGCAAAAACCCTTAGGCATCCTAATTCATTCAGTATCACCACTTTGGACAGCAGAGTCCCTGAGTCTCCAATATTTGGGCTTCTGTACATGGTTGGAAGTGGTCTAATTTGAGCACTTAGACTCCTGACTCCCATCTAAACTGTCACAGTTCAGAGTGGACATGTAGGGTGCTGAGAAGTGATGTTTGTCGCACAATCAATTTCTTGAAAGTGCTCTACAGCCATGCCCTGACAGAAGTGCGTGGCTGCAGAGGGCTTTAAAAATGCCCAATCATATGCCAAATTAACCCTCATGTAATGAGGGTTCAGATGAAAGTGCTCAAAAGCAGAGCACCTTTGTTAACTTCTGTCTGTCCCTGTGCTCAATCAGGGCTGGGCTGATGCAGCCCAGCCCCACCCCCAATGCTGTCTGCAAGAAGGAAGGGGAAGAAGGGAGGGGGAAGAAGCTGCAGGCTGGGGTTTACCCAGCTTGAGTTGGAGACGAGGGTAAGTAGATTGGAGCCCCCTCACCTTGCCTACTCCTGCAGACAGCACTGGAGCTGGGAGGGAGGCAGGGCTAGGGGAGAGAGGCTATGGACAGGCAGCTTCTAGATCAACTCAAAGTAGAGCTCAATCCCCCACCTTCCCCAACCCAATAGTGAACATCTGTTGGGTCCAGGGGGTCGCTCTAAGTCATGCCGCTTTCTGTGAAGCACCATGAGTTAGAGTAGGGAGCTACAAATCTTGTCAGCAGCCAGGATGTCACCAAAACTGTATTTAAGTTCCTGGAGGGACCTAATCCATTAAGTGTCTTCAGAACATTTAGCATCGAGTTCAGTGCAGAGTGACACTGAAGGGTAGACTCTGTCCCTGCTCTGTGCAGCATTCAATTCAGCCATGATTCTGGAAAAAAAATCTTTTTTTCCTGTCATTCCGCCTTTCGAAAACAAGGCATATGTGGTTGATATGCAAGAAAATGTGGTGTGTATGTTGGTATGTACAGAACATCCTTAGAAGTTGGGTGTCAGCTTATCCTTACCACTGTCACAGTTGCTGGTAAGTTGGTAGCAGCTTGTGGCTAAGCAGCGGCCCAGTTTGGTGGCAGCAGCGCAGGATTAAATCCTGAGCTGTGGTGTTTGCAAGGAGAGTTGGGTGGCTGAGCAGCACTCTGCCCCTCTTGCATGCAGCCAGAGCCCAGCACAGAGCCATCCCCTTGCAACCGTTAACAGTGCCCCATGTTTCCATTCTAATGTAGGAATCCACTTCCTACTTTAAAACATGGACCCCAGTCTTGGAGGGGTAGTTTTTGGGAAAGAACATGTGCATTGTATGCAAGTAAATGTGATTAACATCAGTGAACCATTCAAGTAATGAGCATCATAGGAAAACTAATTAGAAAATAAATAATTAAATCTTCAGAGCAAGGTTTGAATAGCTTGAATACAGGCTGAGGCCACGCACTGAACAATGAGGAGAAAACACATTTTTGAACACCTGCTAATTATGTGGGCACTGTTGTCCTCCCTTCTCTTAGTCAGTGTAGTGAACGCTTTTTTCAGGGCATTGTCTGTGCTGCCGCAGGCAGTGTGTCCCTCTTTGCAGACCCTAAAGAATGACTAAAGATTCATTCAGTGGCAAAAAACTCAGACAGGTTTATTACCTACAAAACACCAACTCCCTAACATTCATGTCCAAGAAGCTAGAAGTTTTTAACCCCAGATCTGGTGGTAAGACACAGGCAAAACTCACATATTGTTATCCCCTAGATCTGAAGCAAAAGTTCCAAAAGTTTCCAGTCTCTCTCTCTCATATGGAGAATCAAAACATTTTTTTTCATAGATGATTCATAGATGCTAGGGTCAGAAGGGACCTCAACAGATCATCGAGTCTGACCCCCTGCCCTGGGCAGGAAAGAATGCTGGGGTCAGATGACCCCAGCCAGATGCCTATCCAGCTTTCTCTTAAAGACCCCCAAGGTAGGGGAGAGCACCACCTCCCTTGGAAGCCCATTCCAAATTCTGGCTACCCTTACTGTGACTAAGTTCTTCCTGATGTCTAGCTTAAATCTGCTCTCTGTCAGTTTATGACCATTGTTCCTTGTTACCCCAAGAGGCGCCCTGATGAACAGACCAACATTTTGAACATGTCATACAATTACATAGCAAACAAACATCTTTAGTTACCATCATCCTCATACCTCTTGTCATTATCATGTTTTCTAGACTCTCTGGCAGTATCCTTAACCATCAACTTTACCAAGGGTCTTATAGGGACATTCCAGGCTAAGCCTTGGGAGAGTGAAAGGTCAGCCTTCAGTGAGGCCTGCTTTGGTCAAGGATCTAGCAACGCTTTTATATGAGTTGTAAATGTATTGATCAATGTTTGTATTAAATCAATACCCTAGCAAGGCCTACAAGCAGCACCCATCCATTCTATTCACTGAATGAGCCAGGGATCCTGTTGCAGAAAAAGGGTACTTGATCATGGACATGCAGAGAGGATTTATAAATAACCTTAGCACTGGCATTTCTTGACTGTACAGCCTTATTTTTTTACATTGATTTTGATTAAATACATTATAGATGGAGGGAAATGGTACATTCCTAGCACAGTTCTTTGAGCAATGGTTAACCTTGAAGCTAGACAGGGGATTAGACTATTGGTCCAACCATGCACTTCCTACCCAGCACAAAGCATTACACATACCTCTTTCCTCTTCCCTCACCCCCCATGAAATTACTTGCTTTCAGCCAGGAATACTTTCATATTTATACTGCTAGTTAACTTATTTTGTTACAGTAGCATGTCAGTTCCCTGACCAGTTTTCGGTTGTACCATGGTACCAAGTAATAAAGAAGAAAGTCTTTAGCCCATAGATCTTTCCATCTACCTCAGACAAGGGACCTAATGCATGGATGAAGCAGACAATAAGGGGAGGGTGGTGAGCATCTAGCAACATTGACACATTTTAGCAGTAAAGCTGCAATCACAGGTGGAGTCGAGCATCTATTTCATATCTCCTCCCCTTACAGTTGCTCTGCAGGTGTTAGCAGCAGCCATTCTAGGTGCTGTTTGGATTACAGTAATATGTCTAGCCTCGTGCATAAGAGATAAAGAGTCCAATTTTATGGAGGAGTGCTGTCTGAGGGTTGGGGGGATTAATAGCAGAGGCCCTTACCTACTGCAGCACCTCAAAGAGCTGTAGCTCTTCCCCACTAACCCTTGATCATCATCAGAATTAGCCAGAAATATTGACTAAACAGGCTGCTGATGTTTCTAACTACTTTGTAAAGATACGTTAAATTTTAGCTAGCCAGGTCATAAGGAAGCAAGGTAAAGTTCTCTTGATGCCAGCAGACTCCTACCTCTACTCCCCCAACCTCCATCACTGAGCTGCAGAAATGTAACTTTTCCAGGATGATACAAATAATCTCTGTAATTTTAAAGGCTGCTTTCAGCATGCTCTAATTTTCTTCCCTTTTTATTCTCAGTTTTTCTAATTTTCCATCTGCAGAAGAGAGATAAATTACTGTGAGACAAATTTTTTATTTTGCTTATGGCTGGGAGGTTTCTTTGGAAGATGTTTTAAAAAATCACACATAACCATCTTTCTTATTAAGATAACAAAGACAATATGGTCTTTAAATTGCTGAGCCAAAACTATTTCATAAGTAGCACTAGATTTACTTACAGAATCACTTTCTTAAAAAGGTAATGCCAGGGTTACCAAAATATTTAAAAACCAAATACAAAAACTTTCTCCCCTAAACCCCTGTGAGAAATTCAGTAGCATTTGCATGAACAAACAGTTCCTATTAAGAATACAACATTCCCCAAGAATATTTATTTGATATAACTCATGCAAGGAACAATAACATCATCTAACTTGCATTTTGATGCGGTCTTCATTTTGTTGTCTTAAATACATAGTTCCAAATTCTGTTGAGTCTCTTTCTGTGGGGTGATAGGGGGAATCAAATCCCTTAGGGTAGGGACAGACATTACACATAAGCTGGTTTAAGTGATAAGAAACTGGTTTAAACCTGTAATAGAACATAAGTTCAGTGCACATAAACCAGTTTCAAAATGGCTGAAACTGGTTTAAGATATATCTGGTTGAATGTAATATCAGACTTAACTGATTTGGGTCAAACTGGTTTATGCAATGTCTATCCCAGACCCCTTCCTGGTTTAAGTTAAACCAGAGTCCCCCAGCATCTCTGATGCTTTGCAGCCCTGGGCTGGGCTCCCTGCTCCAGAGAACAGGCTGTCCCTGTCCATCTCCTCCCTAACCAGAGCTCTGTTGGAGACTGCAGGCACAGCAGCATCTGCCTGGCTTCCCATGCTGCTCGCTGCTCAAGCAGAGATCCACCCTCACTCCCATCTCCCACAGCACAGACCCCAGCCCCATGAACCCTAGGCATGCTAGCTAATTCTAAGAGGTGTTTGTGTCTTCGATTTCACAGGGAGAGGCAGACAGAACAATGTCCACTTAGGGCTTTTTGGAGCTAATCAACAGGTCAGCTGGTAATGTCCTTCCATTCCTTCCTTGGTAAAAGCTGTTTAAGAAGAGCTTGAACTAATGAGAGAAGCTTTTGTTTTACCGATGGGCTGATAAACACTGTGTTATCAGGCCCCTACTAGTTTTATCAGCCCCTTGCTGGTTTGCAGCCCTGTCAGGTTTGCAGATAGTATGAAGAAGCAGGGAGAGGGAGATTGAAAAGCTCACTATCATCAACAGATGCATGCACTGCACTGCACACATACCCTTTGCCTCAGAGTGCTAGCTAAGGGTTGGGGACTGGCAACACTCCCACCACTTGAACAGCAAGCAGAGAAAAGTCTCCCTGCCAGCTCCGGGGCTAGCACCCCAGGGGAGCCTGGAGCTGTTGGGAGCAGATTTGCTCCCAGGAAAGGCTTACTGTGTATTATTTTACTTGCACTTGCAACCTGACCCACTTTTAAATCCCTTGTTAGGGAAAGCTGACAGGGAAGGGCTGAGAGCACTAATAGGGTCTCCACAGGATAAAACTAACAACAGCACCAGCAGTTTCTGCTGTGTGGGCTTAACAGAGAGAAGATACCATGGAGAGTGATTTGCCCCAACCTAGCCTGGTGTGGTGGGTACCCTACCTCTCGTACATTCAAGTTTTCTGTGGTAACAGGGAGGGAAGGGTGATGGGGTACATCCTAATATAGCAAAGGATGAGCAAGGCCAAGGTTAGTTGTGTCACATGACCATGCCACAAGGCTGAAAGCTGAAATCAGCAGTGCAAAATGCTCAAGTTCCTTATCAGTTTAGTCACAGAACTGAGGGCTGGGAATGTTGTTTGTTTCAGAAACCATTTTAAATGCTGCAGTTCTACACAGGCAGGGAAGCTGGCATACAGGGCAAACAGGGCAGCTGTAATTCATCCTCTTCTAGGGTCATTTATTGGCAACAACCCCATTCTTTGGAGAACTGCCTTGTAGAGGAGGACAACAGGCACACAGTTGCTAGGGTGACTTTAAGGAGCTGCTGCAGTTTCCTTTGCTCTTGATTGATTGGAATGAAGTAAGTTGTGCCCACTGATACATTTAATACATTTGGATGCAACAGTTTACAGGAATGTTTTCTTCCTCTAAGCTTGGACATGCAAAGTGGAAAAAGAGGAATGACTAACTTTGTTAAGAGGAGCCCAAAAATGCCACTAGCAAGAATCCCTAGTTTTTTTGCATTTTAATTTATCAACTATTAGGCAGTTTTCTGGACTGGGGCAAGATTTTGTTTGACATTTATTGAGATTTTCTTTAGTGTCTCCTTGTTTCTTTCCCAGGCCAATTACACAGACCCACAGAGCAAGCTGAGATTCAGTACCATTGAAGAATTTGCCTACATTCGCATGCTGCCTTCAGACGTTGTTACAGGTTACCTGGCTCTAAGAAAAGCAACAAGTATAGTTTCCTAAAACTTCAAAAATGTTACTGAATGATCCATCATGAATAGGGATAAGATTCAGCATCTCAGCTGAGACCATGGGGTTAGGGTTTTAACCAATGTGTTTCATATTTATTTGAAAGTGGCTACTATTGAAATGTGGATTGAAAAGAATATTTGATCTTCATTTTGATAAATGATTATATTTTCTGGCTTACCGACTTGTAAACAGGATCCAGTTCTGGCCCCAGAAAAGTCAACACAAGTTATGCCACTGATTTCAATGCGACTTTAGGTGAGGGTGTGAAGGAATGAGTTTTGTACAGGACCTGGGACCAGGAACTGAGTCCAAACATGCCTCAAACTCCCTTTGTGGCTCTGGAGGGGCCACAAACTGTGGGTTCCCATTTTCCCCTATCTGCAGAATGGGTAAAGTACTTCTGAGTACCATTGTGGGGATGAACTGATGAATGTATATGAAGCATTTTGAAGAAGTGCTTTGTCTAAGTGCCAACAGGAGAGTTGTTTTGTAATATAGAAACTCATCTGCACACACTACCGGCCCTGGAGGAGCTAGGGTGCACACCATGTGGGTCAACTCTGGACCCAGAGGTATCACTAGAGGATGGATGATGGGGCTCCATGAGCTGGATCTTGTGATACCCCTCCCTTAAATGGCTCTGACCCTTCTCCCCTGTAATGGTAATTAGAGAGGCCCTGTTACAGTTCCCAGCTGTAAATACCCACTTCACAGAGGTGCCAGCCTACAGGCCTGAGTTTGAAATTTCTGAATCCAGTTGACGGATGGGATATTAACTGCACCCCTCTCTAGTATCTCCTATTGCCTGGCTTCTTTAGCTGCTTCCTGCTGTGAATTCCAATCCTAGCTCTGCACAGAAAGAACAAGGAGCTTTGGACATTGACCCTGGGTTGGTGAACACCATTCCCAAAAGTAAGGCAAAAAATCTCAATGTCACTCCACCCAAGCCCCTTTTTTGGATGTGGTCCTTCATGAATTGTAATGCTCAGGTTAAAGAAAAACTGAGTCACTGTACTGTAATGGCCAAGTGTAGTAGCTCTAGTCTAATCTCAACCCTGCTACTGACTTACTTTGTGATCCTTGGCACATCATTTCACCTGCCTTGCCTTCCTCATTGTGAAATGGGGATAACCTAATTTAAGATTCTTATCTCACAGGGACACAGTGCAGCTAAGTTAATGTTTACAACATGTTTTGAATACACTGTCCTATACAAGTGTTAGTTACCACATAAATGCCTCTACTGAAGAAATGAATATTCAAGGTGAAATGAATATTGACTTACTTTCAACTCCTGAACAAGGTAGGCAGTAATGGGACATATTACATTTACTAAATAAATCTAGGATTTAATGCCTATTTTTTATGATCTAATACTCACAAAAACAAGTTTTAAACATCTCTAACATGCTTACAGTAGATCCCCCAAAGCCCTGGATAACAGACAGTGCCACAACTGTTTGCAGGCAACGGAGAATATTATGACAATATCTCTCTTGAGGCCCATAAACACCCTAGGCAGATTCCCTTTGCATGTGGGCTTTAGAAGGGTTTTTTAACTTAAATACTAAAAATGCATCTGAGATAGGTTGAACTCTGATATGAAAAGAAAACATAGTACTCCAATCAGTATTGCTGCAAATAACCAGACAGCAGCTCAGGAAATTGGAGTTAACCACAGTTTATTGGCTCCTACAAGTATTTTTAAAATTCTCTTGGAATGAACCCATTAGGGAATGCTATTACATACAATTACTCTCAGGAATGCTGTTCATGTGATTCCCTACAGTTATGCATGGTATCACAAAGTGTCTCCTTCTTTGATTAATTATAATCAGATTTGTTTCAGAGTTTCTACTGTATTTGTGTACATTAAATAGCATTTTTCAGAATGCAAGTCATTCCTGGAGGAATGGAAACAACTGATAAATGCATTTTAAGATTCAGAGATCTACCTTTTTCACTGCCCCCACCTTACCCCCAAAGCTCCTCTCTGACCCCATTATGTCTTTTTGGTGATTGTTAGCTTCTTTTTTTATTCCCCGCTTCCTCAAGGCTTCATTCCTTCACTTCATTGGTTATTGCTTCTGTTTTCATGATTTCTAGTGGTTTACAGTCAAAGTTGTAGTCAAGACAGGAAGTGGTGGAAGCCATTCCTGTGAGATATGCAACATTAAGCTGAACAAAGTCAATTTATTAGGTGTTGTATCCAAAATATACTTGAAATTGCAGGAAGCTGGACTAGTAGATCTTTTCTGTGCCCAGTACCTGTTATTCAATTTTCTGGATTCTTTTGTCTTTAATATAGGGACCTGCTACTGCTTCTCTTAGCTTCAGCAACAGCAGGATTGAGGATTAACTACATAATTACATCTACTCAAATGCAAACAAACCAAGAGCTGATATATGTGACTGGGAAGCAGTTTTTTTTTAATGTATTTTTGTGGGCTACTTTAAGGGAGATGAAGACCAAAAAGAATATTCACCCTTATAAATAAAAAAACTCTATAGTTAAATTGGACTGAGAATCCAGAACCAGAAAGGAGTTTGAAAAAGAGAACATTGACATGGTCCCTTATTTTTCACTGAATGGGAATTTCATTCAGAAAATGGATTTTGCCTAATAATGTATTCATATGTATAAAATTGACAGGCCACAATCCTGTTATTGTCTTTCTATGAATAGTTATCCCTTGTTATTAATGATAATAGACTGGGGTTGGCAACCCAGGGGTTCCTTGCAAGTTGGATCTAGCCTGTGGAGCCAGCGGATCTAACCCATGGAGTTCAGGCTTTGGCAGTAGGAGAATCTACTGTGCCATGGTGAGAAGCAGCAGCAGTAGATGGGTCCTAGTGCCAACTAACTTCAGACCCAAGTTGGGTCATTCCAGTGTGTGGCCAAGAAGGGCTGTCAATCACTGATACAGACCACGTCAGTGTCAAGTATATTTACAGGACTTGGCTCTATTATATCACCTTGCTGTAGCATGTTCCTGGTTATTTCTCTGATAACCTAATAGCACAAGTTGCTAAGCATCCTCAACTCCCATGGATTCATCTTCAGAACTTTGTTCTTATTCCTCTTTGAGGAGAAATGACTGTCTACCTGTCTACTAGAGATTAAGACTCTATGTTTCCATACTACTATGTGACCTACTAGCTATTGTTCTGCTTACCAGGCTTTTGGTTTGAAGTAAGGTACAGTTACTATAGGTGTGTGGTATAGAACATATCTTCGAGGTCCCTGGTCAGAGCACCCTTCTCACTATGGCCCAGGGATGGGGACCCCCCAGGGAACCACTGAACAAGAGTTTTCCGAGGACGTAGAAGCAGCAAGGGAACACACCTAAAAGCATCAAAACTCTCAATTACTCAAGGGTACAAGGAGGAAGTAGGACATTTAAAAATGAAGAATAGCAAAGGAAAGATGACCAACTAGGCCCCATTCATTCTGTTATTAATAGAAATGTTCAATCCCCCACCTGATTAAATCACTTCCCTGAAGGAGAAATGAATAATTACTAATAAATTAAAGTGCAAAGCATTTATCACTTGAGAATTTGCAAACGTGTTTTGAGGCTTCTTAGTATCTGCATTTTTTTTTTACATACGGTTTGCATATTCAGAGAATAGGCCATTTTCTTTTGAGAGACAGCACAGAAGGGAGGTCGTTCACAGATTTCCTGTCAGATCCTGAAGATTTGGCTTCATGCTGTTTGTAGAAGGAGACCCAGTCAAGCAATCTGAACATTGCCTCAGAACACTTCAATCACACCAAGATGATGATACCATAAATACTAAAATTCACAGAAATCCTTTTTTATTTTTTCTCCTTTTAGTGTGTGTATTTTGATTACAAGTCACTTTTCTTCGCCTGCTGAAAAGTGGGTGGGCTCAAATACAGCAATATATTTTCATGTACAAAAAAGCATTTTAAGTCCAGTTGGTATCTATAAGTATTGTTCGACTTGGCTTTCTATTATCTGAGGAGCTTACCAAATCCAGTACTTTCAGATGATTACAGTATTGTAAATCACAGTCTACAAACTGCAATAGCTGTAATCTCTTGGGAGACCTACTAATAACTAATAAACTGCATTTAAACTACTGGTAAATATTGCTTATGTAAATGAATAAGGTTCATGACCTGAGATTATGCATTTTAAGTATGGAACATTGCCTTCCTTAATGCAGTAGTTTGAAATCAGTGATCTATGTATTAACTGTACTCAAAAGCAATAAACAATTGCTTATTGTTGCCAAGCTTCTCTTTCTAGATAAATTATTCTCTCATTCATTTGACCATTAACTGCAACATCTTAGTTATTCACCTCTCTTAAACCTGCCATTAGCTCAACAGGGAATATAACAAAGGCAGGCAATTATTTCGGACAGAGGGTCACTTACCGAGTTTGGGCAAGCTGTCGAGGGCTGCAAGAGTAGCCCCACCCCTTGACAGGTGCCCCGCCCCCTGGTCGCCATCTTGTGACCAGAAGTCCCACCTGCTACCCCTGACCTTTGCCAATATAAGTCTCTCCCCTTGTCCCCAGAAGTACTTCTTTCAGCAAGGGGTTTTGCCATCTCCAAACCAGAAAAATACCAAATTATATTCTAAAAGAAAACATCTACAGCATTCATTAATTTGATTTCAAAAATAGTTTTGTCCTGATTTATATGTGTTTGTGTAGTGTACATAGAGGTGATTGCACAGTAGCTTAAAATGAAGTCTTACTCTTGTATGTTGTGGGGGGCAGGTATAGATTTGTGGGGGGCTGTGGGTATGTGAGGTGTGGGGGAGGGCATGGGTGTGTCTGTGTGGGTGGATAGGTGTGGGGTGAGTGAGCATGTGGGGGTGAGTGTGGCTATGTGAGGTGTGGCTGTGTGTCTGGGTATGGGATTCATGGGGTGGCTGGGGTGTGTGAGAGGGTGGGTGTGGGGGTCTGCATGTATGGCAGTGTAAGGGTGGGTGTGGGCGCA